GCCTGTTTGGATTGGAAGACTCCTAGTTATGCGGCCCACAAATGAAGCCTTCTTTTTCCCCGTTTGGAAGGAAGGGTCTGGTGTATCCTACGTAGCCTTGGGTATCCCATGATTCATTGGGAGTTCAAGCAAGTCGGCTGCTCCGTGCTCAGAGGAAAAAGGGAAATGGCGCTGAACAGTGGTGAATATTGTAAGTGCAGTTTAACATAATTCAATTATGTGAATAGTTCCGTCTGAAATTAATGAAAATAATTGTTTTAAATGGTTATTGAGTCAGATATGTGGCGGGCAATGTTTGGTTTATTGAAAGCTTTTATCTGTCCCTGTGTAAATGGGTTTGGCTGATATTCAAGCTCAGATTCCAATATCTGCAGTGTGGGGACTATAAATCTGATATCTGCGATGCTACTGCTGCTGGAGCTCCTCAAAAATGTTATTAGCACCCAGAACAGTAGTGAGAAGTTTGATATTCATTCTTTCCCTGCTTTGTGTTTCAACTATCACGGTTGCTAAGCGACAGGATGGGCGGTGAAAGCCGGAGAAGGCTGGACCTGTTTAAAGTCGTAGGAAAATGGCCGTTCCAAGTGTTGCAATTCTCCCGAGTGGTGCCCGACTTTACACGAGTGAATAAAGTAAATGTGATTGGTTGTTTATCAAGGGGGCAGGATTGTTGTGGCGGAAGGTTCGCAAGCAAGTTTGGTTGTGGCCGGTTTGTTGGAAGCTTCTAACCAGTTAGCAACTTAGTGCTAGCAGGTTCCCAATGGGAAATTCCATTGGGACCAAGTAGCACTAAATTGGTGACTTAGAAACGACGCTGTCAAGGAACGCTATGGACAGAGGAAACATGCAAGAGGAGGAGAGTTTAGTGTCGGAGGTCGTGGATGAGTCTCCTCCGTCATCCATTTTTCATTTAGAGGAGGAAAGCGGGGACGAAGATGTTGTGGAAGAGGACGCCAGGGCGGCAGAAGCTTGGTTTGGTGTACAAGGCTTCCAGCCGTACATGTTTGAGCCCTTGCCTCGCAACGCTGCCAGTTCTGTTAGCTCTACGCCTGCCGAAGACACAGACGTCCATCCCCGTGAACACTGGGACGCAACTCAATGGGAAAGGGAAGGATTCTCATTTTTTATTTTAACCGTTGAGTATATTAGCTGCGACATATGAATCAAGATGCTATGACTGAAAAAATTTGATTGACAGATGACCGTTGATACACTATATTGCCAAAAGTATTTGCTCACCCATCCAAATTATTGGAATCAGGTGTTCCAATCACTTCCATGGCCACAGGTGTATAAATTCAAGCACCTAGGCATGCAGACTGTTTTTACAAACATTTGTGAAAGAATGGGTCGCTCTCAGGAGCTCAGTGAATTCCAGCGTGGAACTGTGATAGGATGCCACCTGTGCAACAAATCCAGTCGTGAAATTTCCTCGCTCCTAAATATTCCACAGTCAACTGTCAGCTGTATTATAAGAAAATGGAAGTGTTTGGGAACGACAGCAACTCAGCCACGAAGTGGTAGGCCACGTAAACTGACGGAGCGGGGTCAGCGGATGCTGACGCGCATAGTGCGAAGAGGTCGCCAACTTTCTGCAGAGTCAATCACTACAGACCTCCAAACTTCATGTGGCCTTCAGATTAGCTCAAGAACAGTGCGCAGAGAGCTTCATGGAATGGGTTTCCATGGTCGAGCAGCTGCATCCAAGCCATACATCACCAAGTGCAATGCAAAGCGTCGGATGCGGTGGTGTAAAGCACGCCGCCACTGGACTCTAGAGCAGTGGAGACGCGTTCTCTGGAGTGACGAATCGCGCTTCTCCATCTGGCAATCTGATGGACGGGTCTGGGTTTGGCGGTTGCCAGGAGAACGGTACTTGTCTGACTGCATTGTGCCAAGTGTAAAGTTTGGTGGAGGGGGGATTATGGTGTGAGGTTGTTTTTCAGGAGCTGGGCTTGGCCCCTTAGTTCCAGTGAAAGGAACTCTGAATGCTTCAGCATACCAAGACATTTTGGACAATTCCATGCTCCCAACTTTGTGGGAACAGTTTGGAGCTGGCCCCTTCCTCTTCCAACATGACTGTGCACCAGTGCACAAAGCAAGGTCCATAAAGACATGGATGACAGAGTCTGGTGTGGATGAACTTGACTGGCCTGCACAGAGTCCTGACCTCAACCCGATAGAACACCTTTGGGATGAATTAGAGCGGAGACTGAGAGCCAGGCCTTCTCGTCCAACATCAGTGTGCGACCTCACAAATGCGCTTCTGGAAGAATGGTCAAAAATTCCCATAAACACACTCCTAAACCTTGTGGACAGCCTTCCCAGAAGAGTTGAAGCTGTTCTAGCTGCAAAGGGTGGACCGACGTCATATTGAACCCTATGGATTAGGAACGGGATGTCACTTAAGCTCATATGTGAGTCAAGGCAGGTGAGCAAATACTTTTGGCAATATAGTGTATATGATTGGCCGAATTTAGGTGTTCAGGCTGACGTATACTAGCCTTGTGAGACCATCCTGATCTCGCGAGCTTTCAAGGTTTCACTCGCAGATCAGTCTGGAGACTCTCCGTTGAAGAAAATTTGGAGCCGTTCACCAAACGAACGTCCAATCAGCGTTGGCTTTGAGGCGGGTTGAGGTGTGACGCAATGAGAAGTGGACAGTTCAGTCTAAAGAACATGGCGGCTTCAGCCGATGAAACTAGCGTTAGCGTGGCTATCGAGCAAGTTTTATCGGAATTACAGAGTATTTCTTCACTGAAAGAAGAGCAAAACACTGCTCTGGAGGCTTTTCTCAGAGGAAAAGATGTTTTTGCTCTTCTCCCGACTGTTTTCGACAAAAGTTTGATCTATCAATTGGCTCCTCTTCGTCGTCGCTCTGTTACGTCATATGCTTCGTTGATCGTTGATTGGTTTATTTGGCCCGTCTATCACCAACATAGGCCAATCAGCTAACCAGTATTTTCGCCCCTTCCCAAAATTACTTCAACGGAAGGTTTCCAGATGGATAAGCGGAGCAAAGCCATCTGGCGGAGTCAGGTTAGACGTATACCTAACTGGCCTGCAGAAGATAACGAAAACCCCCCACAGATTTTAAGACAGGATATTTTTAAGAAGAGACATTTTCTAATTTTTGGGACAATCCTCTGATAAAGAGAACATTTATATACATGTTTAAGCCAGAATGATTTGACATTTAAATATTACTTCCCTACGACTTTAAATCCATAGCCAAAACTCTTCCTTATTTTCACGGCCTCCGAAGTACCCAGTCCAGATAGACCGGGCCCTGGGAGGACCGAGCCACTGAAACCGAACACACCCTAAATTTGTGTCTTGTGTCCTAAAAAAATAAAATAAAAACTCTCCCTGGAATTCTTCTTCTGCTACCTATTATAATGTGTTAAAATATGTTTCTTCCTTAACCAGTGATTTTGCTCATTAGCAGGAAACACAACCCCCCCAGGCAGCTTTTTTTTTTTTTATCAACTAAGACATAAAAATGTCTTTATTAACAGAACTTAAATGAATTACAAAATAAGCTGCTGTTAGAGAAGAAGAAAAAAGCAAAACCACAAAAAAAGTCAGGTATTAGGCAGCAATAAAAGCACTAATGCTGAGAAGCTGCTGCTTTTACTGCAGTTCCCACAGACTGGTGAGGAGCTAAATGACAAACCAGCATTAAGCCGGGCATACACTGTGCGATATTTTCAATCGTTGCATGCAGCTACAACTCACACTGTACGACGAAACCGCAGGGTTTAAAAGTTCACAAGTCACGATGTTTGTTCTCACACTGTGCGACCCGACGCTCTGATGCGATCTACGTGCTCACACTGTACGTCTAAAAACCAGGTGGGACTCAGCTCCGCAATGAGACGGCGATACTCTGACTCGTCTATCTGGAAGCCAAACAAGTAGAAGAGGAATATGAAGCTCACTAGATTGAAACGCGCTGCCTTGGCAATTTGTGGAATTTTGTGCTGAAAGCCCTAAAAAAAAGGACGACGACGTATTTGGACAAAGACATGGCCGAGCAAACGTCACTACTCTGTCAATTTTACAGAAAGAACTCCATTTCACTCATTGCACCCCCGCCATGCTTCTGTATTTTCGTCTGAGAGGAAAAATAAGAATCGTTGTTTGCCCACTGAGCAATTTCCCCACACCTTGCGACGTTTGATTTTCTCCCGACCTTACGATTCCTGATGGGGACGTGGTCGTCAGAGGCTGATCGCCACTCGTTATCCCGAGTACACTAAACCACGCACCATCGGGCTGAAAGTCATCCTGATCAAAAAATTCTTTCACGCCCGGAGAATCGGCCTGACAAGGGCAAAAAAAATCGTACAGTGTACGCCCGACTTTAGAAACCAGAACAAAAACACCTCGACAGACAAATTATTCATCAGCAGGAAGCATTTACCACCTAAAGTTGGGATTGGGTCGTAATTTAGAACAAAGCAAATAGTTTTCCCACATTTATACACTTTTCTTTATGATTTTCCTAATTTCGCAACACGTCAACATCCCTCAAAAAATTCACAGTGTTCAGTTATTTCATCAGCACTTCATGGACCGTAAGCAGCCTTTAAAAGGTCCATTAAAAACCAGTCTGCAGCCTTGGATTAGCTATTGCAGCATATTGCTTCATGCAACTTAGCAAGAGAAACAAAAAAACAACTGGCTATACGTTTGGCACAGTTCAAATATACATATGGGTACACAATAGTATCATTATTACACAAGCAGTGCATGACAGAATATTTAGAGTTTCCTTGTCAAATTTAAGGTGTAAACGATACATTATCTTCTAATTACAAACAGCAGATCCCTCCATGGGGATATCATCAGGTGCACACATTGGCAAACTTTTCAGTCTTATTCAAGAATCTTGGCACAGCTTTAGGTTAATAAGGAAGCACTTGAATCTAGTGGTTGTTATCGATGTCCAAAATGAAAGGCGATCACGTTGATATAAGCTTTACGACGGCCGCTTTGTGGCACGACGGATCCTTGAAATCCAGTTTCTCCAACTAACAGCTGCTTTTCTGCTTCTCTAAGACGGCTGGAGGCTAGAACTGGGAGGTCTCTGTGAAGGAGATGGCATCAGTCTTATCCACCGTGAAGCCTCCGTTGACGTAGGACTTTTTCTCGCACTCCTCGTCGTCCAGCGTAGTTTCCAGGGCGAACGGGTTTGCGACATCCACGTCCGAGTTCAGATCCATCCTCTCCAACTCCCTCTTGGATAGTTTCTGAACGATCCCAGCTCCGTAAGCGTCGCCCAGAACGTTGATCATGGTACGGAAGCGATCCCTGAAACACATCGGCTTCTGTTAATCTCCAGGTTTGATTGTTTTTTCCATTTTAGATGTTTGCTTAGTATGAATCCAAATTAATATTTGAAATTTAAAAACTATATGACTAATGCGATGAAGAACTGTCTTTACCAGGGGTCTACAGGAGCTGAATGCGGCTCTTTGAACCTTCTACAATGGATCTTAATAGTGGCAAAAAAAGATATAAAGAACTATATAATAATTAGATCAAATACCAGTCTTAGACACTTTTCTGGGTTTTATAAAAAATATTGGAAAGCATCAAAAATATGTTTTTAGAGCTATTTTTCCTGTAATTTGCTTGGAAACTAGGTGTTTTATTATTATTATTATTATTATTATTGTTTGTTTTTTTACATCAAATAATACCCTATAGGAAAAAAATCCATGCTTCAGTTATATGAATCGTTTTATGTTTTTCCTTATTTTAAAAGAATCCAAATAAGTTCTTGGTTATTTCAAATGGCAACATATTCATTCTGGCAGATATTTAATAAAAATAATATAGTTTTTTTTTTTTTTTTATAAAAAAAATTATGTAATACTTTGTGGCTCTCAAACTAATTTAATTAGCTGGACTCAGGAAAAAATGACTCTTTGGATATGATATGCTGCAGACCCTGGTCTTTACGGTTCTTCTGCTGCTGGATTTCAACAAAATATTTCACAGAAAACAGATTTTAGATTTTTAAACATCAGGTTAGCATAATTAGCTAATTGAAGCTCACGTATTTTAAGTTGCAGTACTTTGTGTGCAGGCATGTTCCACAAGCAACTTAATATTGATGATCATTGTTTTCTTTACATCAAAACAATCTAGGAATTAGCTTTTTAAACTAAACCATTCACTTCTATGCTGATGACACTGTATTTTCCCGCTCAGCGCCTAGTCCTGGTTTAAGTTTTCTGTTGCCGTGCATATTAACAGCGTATGCAGTTTCGTCACGAGTTACCATATTTTTCGGACTATAGCGAGCACCTCATTATAATCCATGCACACTAAGTTTTTGAAAAACATACATATAAGCCGCACAGAACTAGCCTAGTAAACTAGCCCCACCCACCAGAGGGCAAAATCACTTTTGCCTGCGAGTGGTCTAGCCTTGATCAATGCCACAGGCCCTAAATCTGGCGGGCCAATCGCAATGCAGAGATGTGTTTTAAATGTCTGCATGCTAAGCGGGCCGGGTTTTGAGGGCGGGACGACAAAGCTGCACGATGCTGAGGAAAGCACAACAGTAGCAGCAGCTTTCAAGGAGCGCTCCATTGAAAGTTAAAAGTTCTCTTTTCTGTTGTTCAATAAAGGTACGTTTCTAAGATAATTTGAGGCGAGAATATTATACTTTAAAGCTATATGGTTCATTTACCGATTTAATGGTTCATTTACCGATTTAATGCATAGTTAAAAGAATAATTTCCGAAGTTGAGAGGAGCTCCGAGGCTAACGGCAGTCAGACAGAGATTAGACTTGGGGTTTTCGTTGAAACGTAAGCAGGAAGAGGCTCTTCGCTCATTCATTTTTGAGAAGTCAGTCAGTCAGTTGCGCTCATTGGTCAGAGCGTTGGCCAATAGGCACAGACATAGTTTGAAAAACAACGGGTTGTTGTCATCAACAATCTTCCGACGTCTCATTCATCTGGGCCGGACTAAATAACACATTTAATCTCACATTTAGTCTGGTTTATCAGGCTAGCAGTGGACCATAAGCCGCTGACGACTACTTAACTGTCTCCACCAAACCTGTAGGGGGAGCTCTACATATAACTCCTGGCGTAGGGATGAAGTAGAATGCTAGCTCTTGTTAGCTTGTTAGCTTGCAGTAAGAGCTTCTACTGAAAGTTGGGGCTTCATCAGCTCTTTATTTCAGCTCTGCAGGCGTTGAGCGCAGTCTCTTCATTGGTTCAGCAGCTTTAATGCATCAAATTAATGAAGAAATGTGTGCATTCGGAACATTTGTTCTCCGTCCTGCCTGCTGCTAGCACGTTCTTGTGCTAAATGAAAATTAGCCCCTTATTATTTTCATTTCTAACTTTGAATTTCCCCTCTGCCAGTTCGGAAAAATGCAAAGAAAAGCCACGTCTTCTTATAAAGCGCATGGCTTAAAGTGTGGGGAAAAAGTAGCTGCTTAAAAATAACATTTCGAGGTAATGCCCTGGGAGTTCTAGCGTTAACGATGTATGTTGAAAAAAAAAAAGAAAAACAAGAACTTACAGAAGCCAATCCACAGCCACTATCAGAGTGACATCAGTCGCGGGCAGTCCGACAGCCGTTAGGACTATCACCATGGTGACCAGCCCAGCATTGGGGACTCCTGCTGCTCCAATACTGGCAACAGTTGCTGTTATACTAAAAGCAAAGATGAAAATAAAACAAGTTTTTACGTCCTATCATTGATCTGTTTTCTAATCCATCAACCTAACTGAGATGTTTTCCTTCCGTCACGTTTTCACTCAAACGTTTGCATTTCACCTTCACCTCAATTGCTAGGAGAAAAAAAAAAAACTATAAACCCACCTGATAGTAACAATCTGTCCCACATCCAGAGGGTAATCATTGAGCTGAGCAATAAAGATGGCCGCCACCGCCTCATACAGCGCCGTGCCGTCCATGTTGATGGTGGCGCCCACTGGGAGCACGAAGCGAGTTATCCTCTTGTCGATGCGGTTGTTCTCCTCTGCGCAGCGGAAGGTGACGGGCAGCGTAGCGGAGCTGGAACACATGGGGACGGAGGTGGGGTTCAGCTTCACATCCTCCCCGGGCAGAAAGGATTTAACCACAGAATAGGAAACTGACCTGGAGGAGATCATAAGTGCCGTCACCATGGCCTGAGCCATCCCCAGGGTGAAGGTGAAGGGATTCTTCCTCACAATGATGAAGTAGAGGAGAGGCAAGCACACAATGGCGTGGATGGCCAAGCTGCAGAGCAAAGCAGATAAACGTCTGAATTTGTCCTCATCATCTAATAGAAGTCCAGCTTCCTGAAGTCTTCCAAATTTTTCCTTTAGACTTGACGACCTAAGAATGTGGCGGGCCTAATGGTTAGCGCTAGTGTTGCGCTGATGCCATGTTTTTGCCCCGATACCGATACCCGATACCTGGCTGTTCAGTATCACCCGATTCCGATACCATAATAATGTAAAATAATTGCCATCATGGCTTTGTCGAGCTGCTGCTTACCTTTGTGAAGCACGAAAAAAATCTAATACAAAGTGAATCCAGTAGAACTTTTTATTGCCTACCAGGAGTGGGTGACAATAGTTGAATAAACTTATGGCTCTCAAAATGGTGCCCTATTTGTTGGTACTCGCCGATACCGATACCACCATTTTAGGGCGGTATCGGGGCCCCGTCCGATACTGGTATCCGTATCGGTGCAACACTAGTTAGGGCATAGAGCTTTAAATCCTAAGGTTCTAAGTTCAAGCCCCACTCCCACAGACTGCCACTCTGGCTCTCTGAGTAAGACCCTTAACGCCTGGTTGACAAGGTCATGGTCGGGTTGGCAATGTTGACAAGGGTCAAATGACTTGGCAAGCAACCCACGTTAAAATCTCCTCGGCTCTGATTGGCATCATGTGGGAACACCAGAGCCGGGTCGACCCGCTAAATTACGTGACACCATTGAACGCAACGTACAGACGTCAACACATAACACTAGTTGCTGCTGATCTAACAAGCAGAAACAACTGTTTACATTTGATAAACATAGAGCCGCTCTGGTGAGAGGGATTCAGACAGATAATAGAGAGAAACAATAAAGTACACTGACTTCACCCTGTTTTCCTTCCATGATGCTCTCCATTGTTTACTTTCCTGATCAACACTCACGCATGATGGTGTCACCAGACACGCGCAGCTGCCAGCAAGGGGTTAGAAGGGGAAGGGAGCCAAAGGCCGATTGTTAGCGGGTTGACCCATGTTTGAAAAACACGTGTTAACCCGCTATTTTCAGTAGGAAAGAGGCTAATGTTGTAGCTACATCCTTTGAATGAGGGGTCACCAACGTGTTGCCTACAGGCACCAAGGGGCCTTCAAGGACCACATCGGGGGCATAAGCATGTCCTGAAAACAGAATAACTCACCAGTGGGCTAAGTTGGAAATTTAAATGTATTCTGTTACTCTTCTTTTTTAGACATTTATAGAGATTTCAAAATGACAATTTAAGAAGAATATAAAAGAGAGAGTCGACCCAAAATAGAAGAAAATTAGAAATGAAAAGAAACAATAAAAATATGTTTATTATGTATGAAGTTTAAGTGAAGCAGCTTGTTTTAGGTAAACATTGAACTTGAAGAGTCTAAACCATTCAGTTCTATGCTGATGACACTGATTGATTTGAGGCTTCAGGCATGTCTTGCAAGGAGTAAAATAAGCAATTTGAACCACCGGACACATCTAAAAGCTCCAGGAAATGGACTCAAAGGGATGGAGTTTGACATTCAGATTCAGAAGTTTTGCTTCTTCTTTAAAACAATGATTTAAAGTCCACTGATTTTACAAGTTAGAATTAATGGAAAGTGCTTTTTAATAACGCTAAGATGCCCTAATAGCCTCTCCAGAAGGCGATGAAATCACATTGCACTTTGAATTTGTCCCAAATAGCATTTACAAACCTCGGACTCCCCTCTCTGACCCAACCAGACAGGATTTACAGGGCGGTGTTTAACGGTGACACTTAGATTTAGAAGCTTTCATTACTGCATCTGCAGGTTGAGCGGTTTTGAATGTCCTTGGCCCTTATCACTGCCCACCAAGAGCTCAGCTTTTACTCCATGGCCGAAGGGAGAGGCAGCCCAAATGTCAGCCGTAAATCCCAACGTCTGGGACGGGCGGATACAGAGCAATGAGGCAGCTTACCCACTCAGCACAGTCACCATGAAAAGACCCATCTTCTTGAAGATCTCCCAGTCTTCCACCTCGATGATCTTTGCAGCAATGAGGAACAGGATACCAAATGGCATGTAGCTGAAAGGTACAGTTAACAACCATTTACATAAAATATTCATGGATTATTCAAACTTTCAGGAGAGGAGGTCTATTTCAGGTTTGCTCAGAGAATATGCATCGTCTGCACGTACCACATAATTATCTGCACCAGTTTCATGGTGGCTTCATTCAGGGCATCAAAGAATTCAAGAAGTATACGGCCTTTGTCTCCCATCTTCCCGATAACCAAGCCGAAAGCCACACAGAACACAATGAGGCCCAGCACGTTGATTCCGTCTGAATACGAGCCAACAATTTCATACTCCTTAGTGATGTTCTGGAAGAATAAAAAAAAAAAAAACACTCAGATGACCAAGAGCAGGGTGGGATGCTGTTTTCTCTTAAGCTGGGCATACATTGTACGTTTTTTTGCACTTGTTCGGGCTCTCTAGTCGTGTGAGAATTTTTCTTGATCATGCAGAGTTTCAACCTCATTGTGCATCCCGCGTCGTGTAGTGTACAGGGGGTAACGAGGGGCGACCAGCCTCTAATGACCACCTTCGTATCGGGAATCGTAAGGTCGGGAGAAAATAAAACATGTTTGAAATTTAGTCGGCCGTTGTAAGCAAATCCTGCCGATATACCATAACCTAGTGCACTGCGCATCTGCTAACAAGGGTTAGGGTTAGAAGAAGTCAGGGCTTCTTCTACCAGATTGATGAGTCCGACCAGCGGCATCTCACTGCAGAGCTGAGTCGGACGTTTGGTGTTTAGATGTACAGTGTGAGCACATAGATCAGATCAGAGCGTCGGATCGCACAGTGTGAGAACGTACATCGTGAAATGTGAACTTTCAAACCCTGTGGTTTTAAGGTACAGTTTAAGTTGTAGCTGCGTGCACGTTTTTGTGTTTTCTCTTGGCGTGTTCTACTTCATTAGTCACTGTGATTGGCTAAAACCAATCTTTGCTAGGCGGGGACTAGGGCCAAACGTCCGCTTTAATAAATCTCTCAATCAATATATGGAGATGGGACTACATATTGAACTTTATAGTGCGCTCAGTTAAGTGACGATTCGGACCGATGATCACTACTTATTGTTCCTCGTTGGTCGCATAACTCTTCCTCCAAGCATAGTGCATGCACCATCTTTGTTATTTGTACCCGACAGCGGGCTGCTTTGTCAACAAATCCCATGATGCTTTGCAAAGAGAGCTCTCACAAAGCATTCTGGGATACATCTGTGAACATTGTCACTACCCGATCCGTCCCGGAAGCATGATCCATCCTGCGAATTGACGAACAGATCGGATCGCTGAAAAACTACGTAATAACGGTGCTGAAAATACTTATTTATATACTTAAAACATCAAAGAATGCTAAAATACATCACAGAAAATATTGAAGACTTTTCTTTTTCTCTCCATTGTATTGCATGATGTCATCATCGGACATACTCAGAGCAGTCACAGTAACGTTCGAAAGGCTATTTAAGAGTATTGCTTTTTTTGGTTTTTTTTTTTAAACATGCAATATTTACGCAAATACAGAAATATTCAAATGAATTAAAAAAAATATTCAAAAGAATGAAAAAGTACGAAAAATGAAGCATTTGGCTAGCCGGAAGGTATTCTGTTCGCAAATGCGCAGGACAAATCGTGCTTCCGAGACGGATTGGATAGTGACAACCATAGATGATTACTACTTTTCAAGGTGCATTGTGGAAAATTTTGAGTCTACTGTTTTTTCATCCACTACACATTGGGACACTCATTTAAAATGGTGTAACCACTATATAGAGCCCTACGTAGTGATTAGGCCGGACATTCGGATACAGCCTAGGTTTTCGGAAGGTTCCGCTGAATGTCCCTCCTTTCCCTGAACAGATTTTATTTGAGCAGGCCCAGATAATAATCTCTTGCCAGATTAGTAAACATGATCTTTAATATACACTGTGTGCAGAATTATTAGGCAAATTAGTATGTCGACCACATCATCCTTTTCATACATGTTTTTCTACTCCAAGCTGTATAGGCTTGAATGCTAACTACCAATTAAGTTAATCAGGTGGTGTGCATCTCATTAATGAGGGGTGTGGCCTAATGACATCGCAACCTATATAAGATGTGCTTAATTATTAGGCAACTTCCTTTCCTTTGGTAAAATGGGTGAGAAAAGAGATTTGACAGACTCTGAAAAGTCAAAAATGGTCAGATGTCTTTCAGAGGGGTGCAGGAGTTTGGCAAATAGGCAACAGGTGTGCAAGGAGCGTGTTGAAAAAAGAAAATGCAAAAAACCCCCCATGAATTGAGAAGGATGAAGCGTGAAGCTGCCAGGAAGCCATTAGCCACCAGTTGTACCATATTTCAGAGCTGCAACATGTCTGGAGCGCTGAGAAGCACAAGGTGCTCAATACTCAGAGACCTGGCCAAGGTAAGGAAAGCCAAAAAAAGGCCACCTTTGAACAAAACACACTAGACACAACATCTGAAGACTGATTTCTCTGTTTTGGTCTGATGAAATGAGAGTTTCTCGATGGGCCAGATGGATGGATGGGCACCAGGCTGGATCAGTAAAGGGCAGCAAGTTCCTTATCGACTTAGACGCCAGCAAGGTGGAGCAGGGGTAATGCTATGGGCTGCTTTCATCAAAGATGAGGTTGTGGGACCTTTTCGGGTTAATTATGGAGTCAAGATCAACTTCCAGACCTACTGCCAGTTTCTGGAAGACACCTTCTTCAAACAGTGGTACAAGAAGAAGTCGCCATCATTCAAGAAAAACCTGATATTCATGCAGGACAATGTTCCGTCACACGCATCAAAATACACCACAGGGGTGCTGGCCAGAAAAAGCCTTAAAAGAGAAAAATTAATGACATCGCCCCCTTGTTCCCCTGATCTGAACCCCATGGAGAACCTGTGGTCCTTCATGAAATGTGAGATCTACAGGGAGGGAAAACAGTGTCTGGGAGGCTGTTGTGACTGCTGCACGCAACGTGGTTCGCAAACAGATGAAGACACTGACAGAATCTATGGATGGAAGGCTTTAGAGCGTCATGGTGAAGAAAGGTGGCTATATTGGTCACTTATTTTTTGTTTTGTTTGTTTTTGAATGTCGCAAATGTTTATTTCTGAATTTTGAGTTGCTATATTGGTTTACCTGGTGAAAATAAACAAGTAGGATGGGTATATATTTGTTTTTTATTATGTTGCCTAATAATCCTGCACAATAAAATTAACCTGCACACAAAGACATCCTCATAAAATGGCCAAATCTAAAAAACTTCTAAAATATGAAACTTTGATAATAAGGAGTATTTTGTAAATGCAGAGTGTTTGCCTACCTCAACGACCGCCATGACGGTTGTTGCAAGAGGTGGCATTGCAGTGGTGTTGTTTGACACTTTCTCTTCCTCCAACTCTTTCCGCTTTGTTTTGTACTACAGAGAAATCAAAGATATTTAAACATCAGTACTCCACATACATGTCAATATAATTTGAAAAATCGATGTGAAAAGATTCTGACCTGCTGAAAACAAGCCTGCACCAGATTTTCTGGAAACATGTTTCTGTTGAATAAAAAAGGTCCAGAATCAGAGTCCCACAACTTGTTTGACATGTTGCTTAATACAAAGTTCCTAAAACACCTGAAAATTTTTTGGGATGGGGTATTTGTCTCCATAAACAGCTACCTGCCATACGCAAAGCAAATTAACTATTTAAAGATGCCCTTTTTTGGAATGTTTGTGAAAAGGTTTGAGCATTAGGAACATGCTGTACAATCAATACGAAATTATCTGATTAATGAACTCTAAGATCATGAGTGGTCTATGGTAACCTAACGTCAATAGGCCTTTGCAAATTCTCAGTCATCCGGGATCATAGCAACCACGGAGCAGGATTAGTCCGGAGGCAAATTTGCTTTTCTGAAAAAGTTTGTCAATTCTTCAGCTTACACTAGAGATGTTTTAAAGGTAAGAGTGAGGGAAGCCATCTTTGTTAAAAGAGAAAAACCAGCACTGGATACAGGTGGCCTTTCTCAAATTACAAGAACTCAAGTACGGACTTGTGTCCTCGCCAAGTATGCTCTTTAGAAGAACACAGGAAAGTCTGGACTCTTGGAGAACGGGAGAACACAGCATAAATCTGGCTCAATTGGAATGGAAGCGTAGTGATGACATCACCACATTCAAAGCTAGTCTAGAGCTGCTTTTCACCTCCTGTTATTAACAGTCTCTAGAAAATAATACGTCTGTGATGAAACATTGCAGCCAAGCTCTGTATAAGGAAACCAAGTAGTTTTCATGAAGTCCCTAACCTTGTAGCTATCATACTAAGCAGCATGTAAGGACTCTAGGAAGGAGAACTCCCCTTCAACAGAACCAGAGATTCACCTAATGAGGTCAAGCAGTGTATCAACCGTAGTGACGTTGGGGGTGGTGCCTGTTCTGTCGATGTGGTCAGCGTCTTGGGAGACACCAGGCTTGATCGTCATCACCAAAATAATACCTGCAGAGAGGGAGAATATTATTTGACATAGAGTTACACACAGAGCAGCAGAACAATAGAACAACCTCAAGGTAAGGTAGGGGCCAGTTAGTCGTATCAAGGTAAACCAAGGCATTCAAAAGCTCTACACAGAGTAGGCAGAGCCGTCCCTCCCTCCGTCACATCTCACCACTACAGCCAACAAGCAGGAATCTCGTGGAGATGCTGATTTAGAACATTTAAATTAAAAATCTATGAGCTAAACTCCAAAACTGTGGTATTGTCATGATTCTTTTACCGCTCATCTGATCCACCTGCTCCTGCCTCTATTTAAGGTACTTGCATCAAGCTAGCAGGGTGAGCTTATCTTGTTATCCTTCTTGGGGGCCAGTGGAGAGAGTGTTTTTTTTTGCATACCATAGTTTTTCTGGTTTCCTGATCCTGACCTGTTCTGCCTCACGACCACTGGGCCTATCTGTTCCCATCTGAACGGTTTGCCTGAATTATCTGTTGAGTCCTGGACCCCTCAACCAGCCTGTTCCCATTCTGATCTGTATCCCCAATCTGGCTTCAGACTCCTGAATGTTCTCCGGGGCTTTAGCATCTGGGAAACTCTGGGCGGTGCCAAATGCATCTTGTTTGCAGCCCATCGGCTGGATCCTACCTTGTTCTCTGCTGATGGATGATGAATTGTTAAACCATCTTAATGACACACATGGATAATCCATCAGATTATCATGGTCACTAACCTGTGTTTCTCTCAAACAGAGTTTCCAGTCATAGACGCCCTAGCCGCTGATACCACGGATCCAAGCGCTTTGTCTTAAATAAACGCTTTGAAATATCCCGCTGTCTGTCTCCCCTTGAGTATTGGGTCATTTTGTCCTGTGTCGTGACAGGTATATTTACTTAAGGTTATCTAATGATCATTTTAAACTAGCCTATGCCTCCAGGGATGTTAAAAAAAACCCCATAAGATAAGAAAGACAAAAAACTCACCAAGAATCACTGCAATGATGGTTGTTGAGAAGTAATAGACGACAGCTCGAAGACCTATTTTTCCAGACACCTCAGAGTCCAGTGCGGCGACGCCTGTGAGAGACAAGTCCATAATCACACATGGAGACATGAAGGAAGCCATTTACGCTAAGAGAGAATGCAAAACAAGGTTTCCATTGTCATAGATGAAAATGATAGTTCAGTGGGTGAAATGTACGTACAGAGAAGTTCAAACCCCATTAACTCCTCCTTTCTCTGCAAATCTCACAATTCTAAACTTCCACCATAAAACGGGCGAATCCAAACGAAGCATAGGATTGACGTGAACTCGGGGATGTTGTCTTATTTGGTTCTGGCCTGTAGTTTTGTCACGCCCCGAAATTGACATACAGACCAGCCGGCTGGTTCATGGCCCAAGAACATGAATAGAGGTAGATGGAAGCCACCAGTTTAGCTGTTTAGCTTACAGTTGGGTTTACTTCTACAAGAATTACAAAGCAGACAGTTTCTCTATTGAAAATGAGTCAGAACCACAGGCGGAAATGTAGTGTTCCAGGGTGCACGGAGGATTCCCAGTCTTCCCAAGGAATCCGAAGACTCGACAGGCATGTATTTTTTTGTTCTATCAGAAGATCCCTGTAAAGTTCGATGCTCAGCTGTTCATTTGCTCAAAGCATTTTACCGAAGACAGCTTTCAAAATTGGTTCAACTACATGTTGCACTTTAGTCGACCAAAATCCCGGAAGATTTTGAAATTCTCCTCGGACCATTTTTTTAGGCATTAAAAGTAGGACATGTCCAGGAAAAAGAGGACATCTGATCACCCTACCATATCAACAATTTCAATGTTTCGGTGAGTGAGTGCTGGTTGCTATGATGCGTCTTTGCTCATATATATATATTAGTGGTGATAGTGGCGTCTTGGTTTTGTATTGGTTTGCCCTTTTACAATATAGATAAAGACACTGCCAAATTAGATTGGTTGGACACATAACTTCCAACCAGATAAAAAACAAAAAAACTGGGGAAACTATTGTTTTTCGAATAAAAATGACCAACACCTTTAACCCTTTAAAGCACGATCCAAGAATAAAACAAAACAGAAAATTACTTTTTTTTGGTTTGAAGTCCTTATTTGGCCTTTTAACAAAATATGTAAAAAGAAAAAAACAGAAATACATTTTTGATATTAATAATTTATTACTGTGATAAGTCAAGATTATTTTGTGTAGTCTTGTGCCCTCTGTTATCAGGTATATCTGATTGTGTACAATAGAATTTTTAGCAAAGTTTTTACCATTAAATTAAGAAAAAGGTGTCAGACGCAAAACATTTCAGAAACCGTATGAATCAAATATGATACATTTGGCATTATAGGGTTAATTTAGTTAATCAATGCCCAAATTGAACACTTTCACTGTCTGCTTGCGCTTATGTCACTAAAATTACAGAAAAACTATGTCCCTTAAAATATTGCTCTCTTCTAAAACATTTTACACACGAAAAAAACTTACAAAGGATTTCATTATACAAACCAATCATGAACAACCTTAAGGGAAAAACTGACAGATTATATTGCTAACTATAGTGATGCACTCTGCCAGAAGGTGACATGTTCACATGAGGCCTCATGAAATATGGGGTTTATTGAAGCTATTTGTTCAAAAGGTTCACTGGTTCATGAGGCTTCATCTCACCATCATTATTTTCCACATTATGTAATTATTAATTAAATATAACACCTGAACTCTCTCAGATTATTGTCTCTCGGCAGGTGTGGTTAAGCAGCTGCAGCACATCTGGACTAATAAGGACGCGCTTATAGAGCTAGCTCACTGATTTATTAACTGGATTGCTGATTGCCCGAAGAAAGTGAAGCCACTGGCCACCATATTGGTACTCCCCACTCTCACAGAGATGCACCATAAAAATGCCTACATGGGTAGTAGCCTATTTGGCTGCAAAAACATGCAGCTTGCCAGCTGTGGGGAGAATTTTTACAGGTAATTTCACAGTCAGTGGATGAACTAACCAAGAAAATCCATATATAAACCAATGTATCCTATAGTTTAGTGTGTAACGTCACATTATTCTGGCAATCTCGCACTGACTCAATTATTGTGTCATGATCTTGGCGCTGATGGTTTGGATTTTTCCTTTGCTCCTTGCTCCCATTTCTAATTTGTTCTGCGGCTGATTATCGCCGATCATTTTCACCTGGTTCCTCTACTATTTAAGTTGTGTGTTTGCCTCCCGTCAGCGCCAAGTTATTCGAGTGTTTTTGTGAGATGTTTCCTAGCTTTCTTTAGTCTGTCTGTTTCCCTGATTTTGACCAGTTTTCTGCCCTGAGGATCTCGAGTTTTGCCTTCCCCCTGTCTGCTCTGTTTGTCGCATCTGGTCCTGGATTCTACCGGCTTCTGAACCTGGAACTGTCTTCTGACTTTGGCCTTGGATTTCCCTTCTGGACTCTGTTGCTGCTCGGCGTCAGCTGCTCGCTCTCTAGGAACACTGGGGGCGTCGCCCGCCGCAACTGCGGTCTAACCTCCCTCCTGGATTCTGCTGAGTTCTCCGCGAACGGACTGAACTTTGAATCAGGTCAGTGACTTTGCTCCAAGTCGTATTCAGCTCCATATCCAGTCACTGACCTGTATTCTCCCATCTCTGCAGAGATCCGCCCCGCAGCAGACGAGCAGCATATTCTGAGATCATTACATATTGACTAAATTAGCCATTGACATTGTGTCTAATGTTCAAAAATAGAGTAAACAGAAAGTAATTCACTGTGAAATGTCATTGTGGTAATTATTTATTCAGTGGATGATGCTGTCGTTTTGTAGCGTTTGTTGTATTTCTCATTTGAAAAAGTTGTGAGCTGAAATATATTGCGTGTTATATTGATGGGGGGAAAAAACAACTCAAACATTTTTGAAGGCTAATGCACAGACACAGCTTAAAAGTATTTGGCATCATGCATGCATAATTTGCAAATTGGAAAATACTATAGCAGGGGTAACCAATTAAAAATCAGCGGGGTCTGAATATGGAAAATCATCAACCAGTAAAGTTCCGGAGACATTTTTAATTATAATCTGTTAAATTAAACAGAGTTTAACACTGAAATAAAATAAGGTATTTATGCATCCATGTTATACATTGAGTAAAAAAAAGTGTTTTTTGAAGTAGAGAACAAAAATCGTTGAGTTTGGTATATAGACAATTTCCTGATTCCCATATTTTCTCAAACACCTGAACTGATCGTTTGTTATTTTCTTTCTTTTTTCTGTCTTACCCCAGGCTCACACCGACTCCGGTCTTACCGTTGCGGTGCGGTGGGTGCGGCGCCGCAGTGATTCCAAGTCATTAAAAAGACGTAAACCTCTCTCACCGGCTGCTGAGCTGTCCGGCTGCGGTTACCGAGACACTCCGGCGCTGCAGAAAATTCCGCAAGAAAGCTATCCTTGCGGCGTGCCGGAGAACCTCCGCAACAAGCTCTCGCAAATATCCTTATTTGGGCCGTGTTATCGCGTGAAGTTACGTGAACTCAAGTGAACTTCTGTTAAATCTCCGGACCTGTTGCCGGAGCCGCAGAGCCGCACCGCACCGTAGTCAAAAGGGCGGTGTGAGAGGGGGTGTGCGGGAGTTGCGGTCTCCGTCGGCTCGGTAACCGCACCGGAGCCAGTGTGAGCAAGGGGTTAATGTGAGCAGTGGGCTTTAGGCTGCCCTGCAAGGCTTTAAACCTGGGTTTAAATGGAGACTAAGCCATTCTAAAGCACATATCAAGGTGCTCATTTTGAGTCTGGATCCAGATTTAATGTTGATTCTGTTCATGGTGGAGAATCCTGCTTCACAGCAGCAGGTTGAGCCAAACATCCTCTAAATGTGCAGGGTCATCTTTGAGCACGCCATTTCACTTTTCTTTCACCAGTTCACCGCAGTTCTTCCAGCAGTCCACACTTTCTCTGCTCTCTTTTTCTCATCGTCTTCTCCTTCTTTCCCATCGCCCGGCTTGCCACAGGTTTGCCTGCTGTGTCTAAAAGTAGCAGCAGCAGCAACCCAGACTGACAGCTCATTGGCTCATTTGGATCACGTGCAGCCTGGAGCCGGTCGCTCCCCAGGGCTTTAACGTATTAACAGGAGAAGAGGCGCAACTGAAGTTAGACACTGTCGTCGGACAACATGAAGTAATTTATAAAGGTTTTGAATCCGGATTATCCAGCTGTCATGATCTGGCCTGTTTGCTCTCCCTTAATTAGTCATTCCTTTTACCTGTCGTTTTCCCTCCCTGCCTCATTATAACTTATTCCTCTCACCTGTTTCCTCTGGTTTATATTCAGTTCAGCCTGAGCATTCAGTGCCAGATCATTGCTTGTCTTTCTGTCAGTCTTTCTGTTCAGTTTTATTTTATGGTTCGTGTCCTGGATCCTAGCCGCCAGTTGAAAGAGGGTTTTAGTGTTTGTCTCGTCTCCTGATTGTCCACTGTTCCTCCCCCGCGGAGTCCTCTGGGTTTTGGCTCATTATGTGGGGAGGTTCAGCTTTTATCCAGTAAGCCTGGCTCCAGGGAGGAGACCAGTTTAAAGTCCTGCATCAAGTTCCGGTTCCGCGTCCTGTCTCGGCTACCCTCTTCCACTGAGCCTGCTCATCTGCACCTGTTCCTGTCTGCTCCTGTGCGTGACCACCTGGTCATGCTTCTGGTCCCAGTCAGACTCTGAACCCTCCTGGAAGCCTGTGGATGCCTGGAAGTTTGGATCCTGCCACTTGTTTCTGTTCCTGCCTGATCTGGATTCTGCCTGTTCTGGATCCCTCACCAGGATCAGCTTCCAGCATCACCTCTGGGACTGTAGCACTGGGGACATTCGTGGTCTGGACTGTTAAACCAGGTAAGTGACCAACACAGTTAATCTTATATCAGTTTATCGTGGTCACTTACCTGTGTTTCCTCCCTAGAGTGTCTGAGATTGGGCGGTGCCCCGCCCCCCCGCCTGCAGTGTCTGTGAGCCACAGCTCCGCTTTTGTTTTGTTTTATTTAATAAACGTTTGAACTTTCCTACTGACTGTCTCTCCTTGAATACTGGGTCCATCTGTCCTCGGTTCTT